ACACACACATACAGACATACATTAAATTACATTACACGCATGAACTGTGTTGCAATACAAATATGACACACATTACATTACAAACACATACGCACACTGAGAATGCATGCATGCGTACAAACATACATACATACATACAAATATACGTACATACATGCATACATACTTACATACATAGCACAACACACACATACATACATAACATAACAAAACAGATCATAACATAACATAACATACATACATACGTACATACATACATACACACATACATTACATACACACTCACATAACAAACACACATACGCACATAGCATACATAACATACATAACACGCATACACGCATACACGACGTTACATTACATTACATTACATTACATGTCACACATAACACTACACTACATACATACATAACATAACATAACATAACATAACATACATACATACACACATACATACATACATACATTAAATTACATTACACGCATGAACTGCATTGCGTTACATATATCACACACATTAACACACACATACATGCATGTATGCATGCATACAAACATACATGCCTTAACATACATTACATACATACATACATACATACACAACACAACACAACATAACATACATACATACATACAACATACATACCATAACATACATACATACATGCATACATACACAACACAACACAACACAACACAACACAACACAACACAACACAACACAACACAACAATACATACAGACGTACATACATACATACATACATACACACATTACATACATACATACATACATAACATACACACTTACGTACATATCATACATAACATACATCACATACATACAGGCATACATCACATTACATTACATTTCATCACATTACATTACATTACATTACAAAACATGCATAACACTACACACATAATAACATAACATACCACAGCATAAGATAGCATGCATAACATAACATACATACTATATATACATGAGGCTTGCTCCAAAAACGGTCTTCCGCCTCGCCCTTCCGCGACGGGCCCAGCGCCCCCAACAGCCCCAACGGGCCCAGCGGTCCCAACAGTTCCAACGGGCCAGCAGCCCCAACGGGCCCAACAAGGCCAACAGGCCCGACGGGCTCAACGGGCCACACGGGCTCAACGGGCCCGTGAAGGTGAAAGTGACTGCCGCACTAAGCGACAGGATTCGCGCCGCACTAAGCGACAGGACTTGGACCGCGCGGAGCGACCGCCGGGGCTGGGGCCGGCCCGGGGGGTCTCCAGCCAACGAAGACCCCCCCTGGTGTCCGGGTCCAAACGTACCTGCGGGGCTGCGCCTGGGTCATTGTCATGACAGCTGGCGGGCCCCATCCCAAACAAAGGTCCCCCTTTTTTGCCCTTTTCTCCAAAACCAGCTGAACCCCAGCTGTACTCGAAAACCCACCCACTCGAAACTTACCGGCTGTACTCCAAAAATGAGATCTCTCCTTCGGGAGTCGAAGTGTGTAGCGTGTTTCTTTGTTCCCCACGGTTCCCAACAAATCCATTCGTGATCTATGCCTGCTGCTGTTGGCTGTCCTGCAATTATTGACTGCTGGCCTAGTTGAAGATGTTGAAGTTTCAGCACCTTGGACCTAACATGACCCAACCAGAGCGGAAAACTGACAAACGACAGTTCTATGCTTTGGAACCAGGGCGGGCCCTTGTGAAAAGAAAAGACACATGCATGACTGGCTTTCCAGAAGTTCAGCAGGGTTGTAAATTGCATTTCATCATGGCCATGGCGTCCAGTAAGCCCACTCGCCAAGCAGCCTCTGGATTCTGTGCCGGGTAGACTCGGAACAAATTCGCAACTCGCTCCACCATTTCCCAAAGCTCGTACTCGAGCTCGAGAGGCATGTCAGACCTTCTGGCCGCAATCCCCTCTGGTTCAGCCTGCCAGCGCAACTGGTCCAAGCACCATCTTGTATTAAGCAGGTACGCATACAACACGCACGCATCGTGTGGCCTCCTCTTCGATATACGGCCTGTCCTCGTAGTTCGGCATGTCTCGATTTTTGGGGCCCAGTGCACCGAGCGTCTGCGGGGAAACGTCAAGGTCGCAATAGACTTCTTCCCCGACGGAATAGCCTGCAACCACATGTTTGACACGTTGCCACGCTGCATGCCTTTGCAAGATTGTCACGGCTTTGAACGATCACTGTGACAAACGTCATTCAAATAAGCTAGGAACAGGCCACATCGCTGGTCTCCGGGCAAACTCCATACTCCCTGCTGTAGCGGACCACCGATTCGCACAGCGTAGAGCATTCAATCCAAAACGAACTGCCGTCGGTCTCGTTGTCAATCGGCCAAGTTTTCGGAAGGTTCAACTCGTCCCAAAAGAGGGTCACGGAGTCCTGATAGGTTGATAGCCTGGGTTCCGGAGGAGAATTTCAGCAGGCCAAGGTGGCATTGTCAAGCTTCACGCGTCTGCAGCCGAGTTGCACATTCAACAAAACATCAGAGTTTATCCATCTATCACCTTGCTCATGCTTGTCATCGTGATTCAGCAAGAGGCACGTTTCCTGCAAAGTGATCAGCAGCGGCATGACGTGTACTTTGTCAATAGCCCACGCAAGCCGCATCTAAGGAGACATCAAACAAATGCTAGAGCCCCGAGACCAGCTCCTGAACAATGCGCTTGTCGCACAATTGTGGGTACTGCTTTTGGCGGTCCACTAGCTTGACCACCGATGATGCGTTCAAGTCTGCAGCTATGCGAGCTGACCGTCCAAGAGGGAGCCACAATGCAAAGAGCGCCAGGATGCATGTGAGCGTGGAATTCATTAAGGTTGTTGCCATGCCTCGGATGACCAGGCCAAATCCGAACTGTTTCGTGCCACTTCAGTTTAGTCGAACTGGAATTTGGAAGGCCACCCCCAATCCAGCAAACTAGCCAGTTGTTTGATGGACCCCTCATCTGCGTCGTGTTAGTCCATGCTTGGACTTGGACATTGTTGAGAGCCTGGTGGATGAACAAGGCTCATTTTCTTTATCTACGTGCAAAGCAAAGGAGGAAAACAAAGATATTGAATTTGACCGGGGTGGGGAAGCAAATGACAAAAGGACCGAGTTAGTTCAGCCGAACATTCGCCTGCAACGGCCCAAAATAACGCGCGTCCGGATTGTTCGCAAACACACCGACATGGGAATTGAGACAAATCACACTGACAAACTGAACTCGGCGTTCACCGGTGCGCCAACCGGTAACATATTTCAGAAAATTACGCGCCCTTAAAACGAATCACATCGCGTTTCTCACCCCAGCTCTGCACACTGCATGTCCCTGCACAACCAACACCTTCGAGATTGTATCGGTTCAATTTTCAGCAAATTTGAGTAAGCCAGCTCATTCTTCAACACGACCACCTCTTCTTAAAAAGAGAGGCACAGAATCTGGCTTACGGAGCCTTACACTGCCAACCAATATCCTAAAATTTGAAATTAGTGGGATGTCCAGCCTCTTCTCTGGAGTGGTACCTAAAGAATAATACATGGTGCACTTTGCTCTCTACCAACACTTTTGCGTTTATTCCCTCAAAGGCTGTCGAACATGTGCAAATTGCAGGGTGTATTAAACAAATGCAATCCTCTGCGGTATTTCAACACAAACATATGCAAGCCCAAACGCACAGGGCATAATCACAAGGCTAGCATAAAAACAAAAAAAAGAAAAAACAACAACACATATCAAAAGGTACTCATGTAAGAAAATATCGGGGATATGATACAATGTCTTGAATGCCAATGGTATATTTGTTCGCAGTCATACACCTCACAACCAAGTACAGCAAGGCAACAATCATGTCAATAAGGCGTATGCCTGCACGCTGCCTCTGTAAGCCAACGCAGCCGCGACGAGCTCTTTTTTCAAAACAGGTCTATCATGATCGTGCACGACTCAACTCCCTCGTTGATTTCAGAATAACACAGTGGCGCTCTGCGTTGCAAGTACTAAGTTGCAATGAACTCCCAGCATCATGACAAACACGCCTAGCACCAGGATCCTAAGGATCTGCGGTGGGATGCAGCTACGCAGCCAAGATACAGCTACGAAAGCGCAGGGCGGCGGCAATTGTCAAACAACTAACTGTGATCCAAATGCTGCCGGCATTGCATTCATCAATGGAAGAGTGGCTCAAGTCTGCTTGCATCTAACCAATGTTTGGTGGTTGTTGGGTGTTGTACACTGTCTGTTGGCAGTAGCCCAAGCAACTCACAAAAAACAGCAATCACCAACGCAACTCAACCCACTGCAACTGGGCATGGCAACTAGGTTGCAAGCAAGTGCACGAGTGTGGCTGAATGTGCTAAGTAAGCACGCACCCAAATGTGTGGAAGGGTTCGGTCTACTTTGCCAAGGGGATTCAACGCTCAAGCTTGCTCTCCCGCCAAGCCCGGCATGCTGCCAGCCTTGCCAGCAGGATGCATTGGCTCCCCAGGAACTAGAGCAAATCTAGAGTAACAAGAGCTGCTGTGTTGAATGATGGGAGATTTTGGGAGTCGTAGATCAGAAATATCTGTGGCAAAATGCCAAAAAGTCTGCAGTAACCTTCTGGCGACAGTTTGCCTCAGCAGGCCCCGCTAAGGTGGCTATCAACGAATAACTTCTGCAAACTCAAGCTGTGAACTGCGCGAGCGGGCGTCATGTCAAATGCCATTCTGTCAAGACACATGGTACCTTGCAAAGGCCACGCGAACTCCTCACATGGACTGTAACATGCTACGACCAGAAACCCGTGTGACTCAGTCTTGGCTAGTTCGCGGGGCTTTTGGGATTTCCCCCCGAATCTAAAATCCATCATCTGAGAAAAATCGCAACTCATTTGCATACAACACGTGTCTGCAAGCAGCTTTCACGAACCGGAGGTACCCCACAATGGGAAATCTGGCTCACTCAGATCTCACATCATTGCTTGCACGCGGCCCTGGAAGCCCGACTCTCTTACTTAGGAGACGTGGGTCCTCGCTGTCCTCAAGGGATTGTTCACGGCCAGCTCGTCCGCAAGATGGAAACTCCTGCAAGATGCTTCCTTGGCATGGGCCTGGATATGGCCTGGATATGGCTGTGGGTCAAAACCCTGGTACCATCTGATACCCCAGACCCATTCCCTTTTGACATGGACCAAACACCAGGGGGCCTTCCCCAAAAAAGGGTGTCTGGGAATCTGGGTGTTGACCCACAGCCATATGCTATACGGAGCACATAGGGTAGGCAGTGCTGGCCTTCAACCGGCCCTCGAGCCGCCAAACCTCACGACAATCGCAAGTTGCAACACCCCGTGTTCATCTTCAGCTGATCCAAAAGTGGTGAGGAATCTTGAGTGCCAGACAATCTTCTGTAGGAAGGTCTTCCACGCCAAAGCCTCCTGCAAGATATGCTTTTATTCGGTGGCTGATGGGGAGCGTGAATTGAACAGTGGCCGACTCTGCAGCATGCTAGGCTCATGCGTTCTTGCAACCTCACACATACGCGGTGGAAGCATCCGGATGTTTCGACTCCCGCTTGCGAGACTCACTGGCTTTCTGTGCAAGCACTGGCCGATCTCGGCTGAAGCCCTGCACAAATCAAACAAGATGCTTTTGCGCCATGAATGGCTTGCATTGCTTCACCTTGCCTGTGCGAAGTGCTCTTCCTGCCACCTCCGGGCTATGGCTAACCGGCACGCAACCATGCGCAAGCATCAGTGTGGCTCTGCCCATGGCCTCCTCATAGCCAGCAAAGAGCTGACCACAGGCAGCATCAATACCGTGGCCGAAGGAGTTCCGATAGGAAGACGACACGCGATTCTGCCTGGAGCATGCCCAGCGTCTGAAACAGAAGGCTAGCAAGAAAGGCCATGATATGTTTGAAGGCCATCAAGCTTCATCATCCAAAAACTACTCAGTACCGGCTTGGTAGCATACAGTGGCAATGCAACATGCGACACACCTAGTTGCATCCGGTCAAGCGGCTGGAGAATCCGCTGGAATTGTTCGATACCTGTCCCAGCAATGGACATGACACATCACAAACTCCAGGCAAACAAGGAGCAATATGGCCATGATACCCTCAACAAGGCGCTTCGGTCACTCTCAAGATGTGGGTGGCTATAAGGTGGGTTGGGGGGCATCTTGCCCATGACCTCCTAGTGCTGTGACCTGAACCACCTGGACCTGGACTCTCTGATTGCCTTCTGGAAGCGCTCGGCGAAATTGGTCTGGCACAGCTCGGCCTGGGAGATTGAAATGGTAACATGCTGCCTACGCATTGCATTTGTGACTCGAACACATGTCAAATGTGTCACCGTTGTTGCAGCGCGACGCACTGCCGGCACAAACCAAAGAGGCCCATCAAGCATACATTGCTACAACACGGAGCGTAGATTTAATGTCATTGGGTTTGCTTTAAAAAAAAGAGATAATTATATGTTTTCAAAAAAAAAAAACACAACACGGAACTGGTAATATCACAACGCTTTCAAGTTCGAAGAAAGAATCAAAACAAATCTTGGCCAGGCTCTAAACATATCAGACGGGACAATACATACTCACACTAGTGGGCGCCGGCAAGAAACGACAAAAACATAAACAACTCTATTTTGCTGAAACATGCACAGTATACAGAAGTTTGCTGGCACGCAGCAACAATAGAAAAACAAACAGTGATCGCAAAAATATGCCAGCGCTGCCCCTGCACCGCACCAAAGAGGCAACACAAACGTATTAACGGCGCAGATCGATTGCTTCTGCGAATCAAGCTCCTGACACACAATACATAACTCGAACAAGGCCAGAAATGGAAAATAGCACAGTCTGCAACTGCGCAACAAGACGTGCACAACATTGCGTAGGTATCGATTAATTGTCACGGACATGTCGGCATTATCCGAACCGGAGCAAGCTGATAACAACGGCTTTCTGTGTGAGTTAGAGGCGTGAAAGTGACAATGGCGGCCACAATGAAACACAGCTGCGCATGTCAGCCCACATCGTTCCTGTAGATCGTTGACAATGTCGTGATGCACATGGATTCTTGATTAAGGCCCGGAACGCAACTCATGTCGTGTGAAATCATCGTAACAATCATATATCTGCCACCATCATTCTGAACGCCCTTGACGAGAAAGTGAAGCGAACAACAAACATCGATTGGACCAGGCCGCTTCTTGAAAGCCAACAGGCAACTGCACAAAGCTGAAACTTGCAACCTCCTCCTTGATCTAGCGGCCCCTTAAGCCTCCGGCCAACATTGTAGGGCAAGAGGTTGACATGGTACAAGTACCTGTCAAACACTGCTCGCTGTTGAAACGAGCCACGACAATGGCCATTATGGCCAATCGTGGTCATGAGAAAAAGGCCAAACGACCCGGCTTATCAGTGTGTTAGCCTTGCCGGCAATCAAAGCCGCTGTGATGTAAACCCCCGCCTTGCTTCCACAGGCCGATCTCTGACCATCTGGGCCAAGGCTCGTGCGTGATCAGCAGAATCATTTATTCCCTCAGCAGCTTCAGGCACCATTATTTTCTAACAAGAACATTGCGCGCAAATATTCAACATTGACAAATACCTTTGGTTTTGCACGCTGCTTGCAATCGCAGCTTGTGCGCTTGCCAGGCTGTTGAGGGGGCCTTCAGCACTGAAACTAAGATGCAGGCCTGCAACAGCAAATAGCACACCCAAACTCGCCGCCCTGTGCTCCGAATATGCTGGTCAAGAACATCAAACACCTGGAGCGAGAACACACGAGTCCTTGTGCGCTGGGCACTGAAGGGCATGAGCCAGGGGGTCAACGAGACTTGCCACGAACCCCCGCGACAGCAGCACAACCGACAGTCGTCGCCTCTGCCATCGGGAACATCCGGTTCAAAGGCCTTGTGCTAAAGATGAGCGGACAATTCAACTCAAGTTCATGCAGCCCCCGCCCCAGCATGCTTTCCGCACAACAAAGCCAAACAAAGCTGCAGGGATCTCTCTCGCTCACTGCTGCCCGGGCGCACAAGTTTGTTCCGCTCATCTGTGAAAGGGGAATGCAAAGAGAAGGCAAGGTTCACCTGAGGAAATTCCTGCAGCCAAATTGAAAGCCCGCTTTGCTAGCTGCGTGTTGTAGCTGTCCTCCGTCAGCTTGATGATGCCAGGTATTACACCCACTGTAGAGATGTTCAGCCTGCAGCAGGCGTTTTTATTCCCCGGTGGTTCTATGTGCAGGCGCGGCACTTTTGACTCAGCGTACGTTTTCATGTGCGAGTGACTGTGTACCCCTGAGCGCTTGTATGCGGGGGGGGTGCATTCTTGCGTGGACAAACGCTGGTGTGTGGTAGCAACATCGCCAGCTTCCACCGCCGTTTGCCTACCACTTGCAATCATGATGACAGTTCTCAAGCCTGTCTCATTGATTTGACAAGAAGTCATTTGCAAACGCCCTGCATTCTCTGAAGCATCGGGCTGGAGCTGCGGATGGTTGAAAGGGCAGGCGGCAGGGTGAGATCTAGTCTTCCAAAGTTTTGCCCCAAGCTCTCTTGAGAGCATTTGTGCTCACGTGAATGCAGTCATCAAACCCGGCCCAGATATTTACTCTTAATTGTGTTTCCATGCATCATGGACGCCAGGGCAAAGCTTTTGAGCATGCCCTGCACAACCCGCGTGCTCCTGATTTGTGCATGGTTAATCCCGCGCAAGCATTCTCAAGGAAAATTAAGGAGGAGCTCGTAGTCCAGGCCTTTGGGGGCAACAATGTACCTCGAAACCGGGTATAGCTGGGCATAGCGGGACAGCTGCTTCAAAGAACAGGTAGTGATGCTTTCTTCGACATGCTTCCCATTGACACAGCTTACAATGTATGAAAGGGCTGAGGTCAAGCACGACCAATGCAACACATGAAAAGTTGTGCACGTCAATGAGTGTCGAGGTAACAGGGGACAGAGGTCGTGCCTTGTTTGTGTTCAGGCCCAGGCCTACGTGATGACATCCCAAAGAGGTCCGGCGCTGTCAGGATTCGAAGGGCATCGAAGACTTTGGGGTTGCCCAGCGGCTCACCTCTGCGGCGCTCAAAGTGCGCGCAACATGCCATTACTTGCAATTCATAATCTCCGTCATCACACCTCCGCGCATTTCCCTGCTGACGAGGGATTAACCCGTTAATTCTCAGGGCATCCGACCCATGCCCATGAAAGAGACGCTGTCCACCTGACAGCACTATGACTCTGATCAGTTCGTCTAGAGCATGCAGCAGTTGAGACCTTGTGCCCCTTCTGGAGAAACTTCAACACCTCCAGGGTGCGACAAGAAGTGAGGCAGCACAGCATGCGACCAGTTGAGGCAAAACATTGGCTGTCACAAGGCGCAGGCGGGCACAGTGCCAAAGCAAAGCGAAAAACCGATGCTTTTTTAAGATGCCAGCACCTGGTCGCTGATCTCATCCGCATCCATTTGCCTTTTGAGGCCAACTTTGCCAGTGGCACAAAAGGCGCACTGGAAGGCACAGCCCACCTACAGGTGAAAGCGCAAAAGTGAGGCGAGCCATTGCAACTCAGGCCTTGCCTGTGAGGAGATGCACAGTGAGCGATGGGTGTGAAACTGCAGCGACACGGCCTCCACCTAGGCTGCTACCCGTGCCCTGCCGGGGACAAGCAGCTTGCCTGAGCTTCATCTCGCAGGGATTTCAGCAGCAGCTTGTGCGCAGAATCACCCTCAAAGTCTTCCTGCACTGAACCCAGCGCAAGTCAGGGCGCATTGCTTGCCAATCACCCACATGTCTCCCTTTGAATGGTGCAGGACTTAGACTCTTCCTTGGTCGAGAAGTTGTTGATGTACCTTCCAAAGCGCTCCTGTGCAAGCAGCTGCTGAGCACATGTGCGGCACTGGCTACTGACTTGACAGTTCCAAGCTGCAGCGCAAGTTGTCCAGTCCTTCAACCGCCATCGCAATGGTTTGGGCAAACCATCGATGTGATGCCATTTGGTTTTGTACGCCTGGCTTCACCCCAAAAACTGTGGATGCATCCTGTTTGCAGCACGTGGCGTGTCAGCACGGTTGCAGCTCGATTGCTGCAGAGTTTGGCTCCGCCCCCATCCCGAACCTTGTAGACGCCATCTAAAACTTGTTGCAGCCGCCAGGTTGGCTCGCCTTGCAGATTCAGAAACCTTAGCAAATACATCCCTCAAATCTGCAGACCTGCCCTTCCCAAGTCGCGAGCTCGGTCAAGGCACGGCACCTGTCAGCTTTCAGATGTACAACTCCCCAAAGGTCAGACAGCTGTTCGCACCGGGTCACCGGAATCATATGCACCGCGCCTGGGGCTAACATTCATCTCTAGGTAGCAGCCATTGCCACTTAGGCGAATGGAACTTCAGCGAACGTTGGCAATGCGTGGTTGTACACATGCGGTGCCCATGAATTGCTCTGGGCATGCAGCTGCTGCTTAAGACCAGCTGTCAAAAGTGTATCACTGCCCAGTCTCACCGACACGTACTTACCTCCGCCTTTTTGCGCTAACACAATAATGCTGCAGTGTAGACGCCTTGCCTGCTCGTGTTTTTTCTTCCAAACAACTCTGGGGACTTCAGCTGTTTCACGTCTCTCTCATGTGCGTCGCAAGTACTGTGGGAATGAGTTGTGCGCGTTCGGATTGAGGTCCTTGAACTTCCTCATGGCTATCATGCAACTTCTGGAAGATCGTTGAAAGGCAAGCTTCGCAAGCAAGCACTGGCAGCACTGGCAACATTGAACAACGCAGCGCAACAAAATCCAACAAACATTGCAGTCCTCAGCGCGCCTGCAAGATTGCGGTATACGCCACCTTGGTCACTGCAAAACAGGTCTGCCTATATAAAATAAGCTGGCAGCTCCGGCTTATCTTAACAAAATGCCTGCGAGCCAAAAGCTCGTGCCAGTCTACCTTGCATGATTCGCATGGGATGATTCCAAAACAACACCATGGCTTGGGCTACCTACGCAAATCCACAAACTTCAAACAGCCCTTCACTGGGCCCACTCTGTTTCTATTAGATGCCTTCCAAATATAAAAACCACCGAACGGCAAAAGAGCCTGCCATGGCAGCCATAGCTTGCATCGAGGCTCAGCACAGTTCTACACGACCCAGCGTGCATCATCACCCGCTTTTGCCTGACACTTAGACGCTAGCGCGAGCAAGCATATGGCTTGCGCAAGGAAACAGCTACACGCAGCCTTCCACAAGCGAACACGACAAAACGAAACTGGCTGAGTCTCGCAGTCCCTTCTCATCCAAGTGATAAAAAAAGGTCATCACATTAGCTCAAAGTGAGAGCAGACGGACAGAAAGTTGGCACCGATTGCCAGAAGCGCGCTTCAATCAATCCTCCTCATAGATATTCTCAACCCGGCGTCTGTGAACCAGCAACAGTGGCTAAGCTAAGTAGACTGGAACAGCAAGCATCTAGGAAAGATGCAACTGCGGGCGGTGGTCCAAGCAGACAGCAAAGCATGAGTCCGAGCAACATGGGGCGCGACCATGTGATAGGGCAGGAATCAAACCCCCCCGCCGTTCTTCCAAAATGCGCAATGAACCATCCCTTGTTCGGGACCTTCACGCGCCCTTTTGTGCCCAATGACCCTGAGTCTGTCATCCGGTCCACGCGCACAGGCATGTGCCACTGAGCTGCCTCTATGCCAAACAAACTCGTTCTCATCTCCCACTACCCAAACCAGATCCAACATATACAGCTGAAATTCAGAGGTGTGATGTGCCCTGCCTGCATCGCCGAGTGTGCTTCCGAAGCCGTTGCAGGCCTCAAAGTCCGAGGATGCTGAGGCAATGAGGCACGTGCTGTGGCTAGTACGGAATCCTGAATGAAGCGACTGACACCAGGGTGCGGGCGGCGGTGACTTTGCGACCTGAAAAAGTGCATTCTCAAACGCAACGCTCTCAAGCCGGCCGACAAGAGGTCTCTGTGAGTCGGAGAAGCTTGAGTACAATCACGCAGACCCACTAGCGGCTAGCGAGATCGAAACGCCTTTCCATGCGACAAGGCCTGGCATCTCTAAGCTTGGCTGCTCTACACTTTTTGTTTGCAGCACGCCATCCTTTCCTGTGCTTCAAGGTTCTGAATGATGGGCAGTTGCCAGGCAACTGCAATGATAGTCCAGGAGATGCACTTACACCGGGCTTTACATACGACATCTACACTTGTGTATGCGCTGAGCGCTGGTGGCTCTGGCGCCAACAGATGAGCGACACGCAAGTTCTGCTTCATACTCACTGGGCACCATTCATCTGGCACCTAAGCACGAGCCCAAGTGCATGACAGGCAGCTTGGAGCAAGAAAAGAACGCCAACCCAAAGCAATATGTTCGAAAACTCAGTTCTTGTCGAGGCGGTCAAAGCCTGTCGGCTGACAACTTCAAGTGGCAAATGGGGCAACCAACGTCACAGAAGCTGCCTCACACCAACCTATCCAGGTGCAACCAAGGCACTCTCAACTTGAATATCCGTCTTTCGGCTTGTACTCAGGAGCCTCTGGGTGGTACCTTGCACAAAAGCGTTCTACAACTCTCCAGCGGTCAGAGTGCCAGCCAAGCAAAATCATGGCAAAGGGGGCTGCAGCTCTGCCATACAGATTGGCTGCGGAGACAGAACCGTTTCAGGGCAGAGTCATCGAGAGAAAGGGGAAAACATAGCCAGGAATGTAGGAGTATACTACTCAGAATGCGTTCAGAAAGTGTCGGATGCTGCTGTGAGTTTGTCCCCCAACTAGCTGAAACTATGGTAAACCGAAAGGTGCTATGCTCGCAGGGTGCTGTTGCGCGGGGTGCTGCTGGATTTGTTGGAAGGTGGGCCGTGACCAAGAAGCGTCCCGGGGTGTGGTTGCGGGGGTGCCTTTGGGGTGCGATTGCATGGTGCCTTTTGCAGTGTTCTGCTAATCTCAGAATTTGGGCAGGGAATTATGAACTGCTGCAGGGCGCAGGCGCGTTTGCGGGTGCAAGTGGATTGTAGTTGAAGTGGCTGTTGCTTTCACATTAACACAGCTCTGGAGATTGGGGACCAATATAGCTGCTGTAATTGTCTACTTCAACACATCACCATCCAGTAGCAATGAACGATGCTGTGCTTTGCTTTGGCCCGGAACCATCCTACGATATCAATAATTATTCATGTTGCTTGCCGGCCGTGTGCAAGAAGCGCACATGCCTCGCTTGTTGAGGCTGCACGCGAATGGCATATTGTGCACATGCAGTCATGAAGTCGCCATCGAAAATTGGACATGAGACCGTCTTGACAATCAGCAGCACGGACAACCGCGCGAAACGCGACACAAACACGACGAGTATCCGACCGCCCCTAGTGCAGTCTCAAGCACTTGCGAAACTCAGAGCTGAAGTATCTTCCTGAGGCAGCGAGCATGGATGACTGACGGTGTGGAAGCCCCGTGCTTGTTTCTCAAGTAGTCTGGATGCATACTCGCACAAAGGCAGTGCAGCTGTTTTCAAGCGACATCGGCTTTGTGCCCAGGCACGCAGCATGGTCTCATCAAGATGTGGCTCTTTTTCAAAGGGAAGCCTCAGCGTTCGACGCGACATTGCATTCATGCTGCCAATTTGAACATGCACTCGTATCAAACAAAACGGGCAAAACATGTCCGAGCATCACTACCAGCTCCGGCGCTGTCGATTCCAGTGCTTTGTCGCGGATGTCCACCAACAAGGGGTGCCCCAATGCCTGCGGGCGATTGCTTCACGTGGGTTCCCACTAAATTTGGCTAGTTGGAAATGGCGACCTCCTATGAAGATTGCACTCTCACAGGCGTTCAAGCGCTAGCACCTCAAACCGCGCAGGATCGCGCAGGTGGTGACACAACCGGAGTCCAGCTCCTCTGCCAACCAATTAGCACGGCAAAACGCTCAACCTCCTTCAATTCAGAAGAGATGCCGCTGCTCACAACAGCACCATGCAGCAGCTAAGCGTAGCTAGAAAACATGAGCAGAATCTAGCGCTGCAAGCGGGATTGACTTGATCTTTCTTGCAGCCGAGCACCTTTTTGTTGCCTCTCTCTCTCTCTCTCAGCTCGCTGGACACATTAAGTGAAATACATCAGAAATTGCACTACACAATTCCAGTACGGCTTTAACCAAGTCGTGGTTGCTCTGGGCCCTGCGTCATTGTCATGCCTTCAACATATGTGGCAACATATCAAAGCTCGTAATTGTCCAAAGTTCGGCCCGCCTCCTGCACAGTAATGCGCGACTTCGGGTTGAAAATTAGCCTAGGAGGCATACCACTCCGAGTTGCAGCTCGCAAACCACTGTCATGCATCTTAACGGCACCCGATGTATCAAAGGGTGAACGAAGTGCTCCAAAATTAGTTCCAAACAAATGTAAAACACCTGCTCAACATACAAAAGTGTGCTTTCACACCAAAAAATGGGGACTCCCGTAACTCTTCGTCCCACGCTCAGCCCCCAGGAAGACGTGATGTGGACAAGCTCCGGAGAATGTGATGTGGGATTCCGAATCCCGAATCCCAGAATTGCGCGAATCGCGTTTTCGAAAGGCTGAGCTATCCCTGAAACAATCTTTCAACCACACCTTGCAAAAACAAGTCGGCGCCCACAAACTGCAACTTTTATGTCTAAGCCTTCTTGACCACCAGTCCAATGGGGGGGTACAGCTGGGCCGAGCCCGTGATGTTCATTTTTCCGGTTTGCTTCAGGTTTAGTCTAATTACCCAATTCGTGAAAGGATTTATCCGAGGGGGCCCCCTCACTGGCACTGGATTGTTTCGACTACTTCATACTGCAAACCTAGCTAACACTCAACCAAACTGATCAGTTCCACTAAGCCAGGACCGTGACTAAACAACGCATCTCAAAAACCTGCTGGAGGGATGCAAGCTTGATCCCTGATTCCGGTAGGTTAGCACGTTTCTCTTTCGCGACCCTCAATGGCCGTTATTCGGCTCAGGTTTGGGGTCTGCAAACGTGTGCTCTGACGCTTTCAATCATGCAGCA